TTCTCCCCTCTTTCTGGAAATATTATTGATTAGCACTTGGACCACCTGGATGGACAGATCCTGTGGTAGCGTGTTAGGCAGAGAACCCCCTGTGTTGTGGGGGACCCCAGATGTCAGTGTAGGAGAAAATTTGCTCTGGGCAGAGGCCCTCCAGTTTCCCGTGGGTAGGAGTGGGGCGGGGGTTGGATTAGCCTGGTAGCAGGGGCTGGGGACAGCTTTGAATGGGCTCCCTGCCTAGTTTCTCATATGTCTGAGTTGTGAGCACCCCTAGGAAATGTGCACCAGGTCTCCTGGGCAGGAAACTGCCTGGATGTGGGGAGTCAGCCCCTAGGGGGGTTCTCTCCCACATCACACCATGCCCTCCACTCCTGGTCACTGCCCTCGCACCCCCTTTTGGCAGACAATAAACCAGAACGTAAACATCCAATGTGTCTTGAGATGTATCTAATGGGCAGAAAAGACAAGCGAGGGAGACAGGAGTCAGGGTTTTGGGCAGAGGACAACCCCTGTGGCTGGAGGGGTCTGCCAGTCACGGCAGCAGAGCGAGTGGCAGTCAGGGTGGACAAGGCAAGTGGAGGCAGGGGCCAAATGCGTGAGCGCCTTAGGAAGCCATCAGAGCACAGGTGTGCGTTCCCAACAAGGGCTCCCGAACTGTGCAGGCGGAGCAGCGCGGGGAAGTAGGTAGTGACCTGGGGCTGCTGGTCCCACAAGCAGGTTCCAGAGTCCACTTGGCCCCTTATCTCCACCGTAGGCCATGTCTGGTGGACTGAATCAGGGACCCAGGGCATGGCAGAATCCTGAGCAGGGAAGGGTGGCTCGTCCCATCCTAACACCCTTCCTAGTCACCCCAGCCGTGGGTGAGCCCCTGCTCCCATCCAGCCAGGCCAGCATCCAGGGATGCAGCAAGGAGCCAGGCTACCCGACTTGGCACCCATGTGGTACATAGGAGCTATGGGATCAGGGTGAGGCTCCGGGGGCTTGGTCACCCCGTCTTGCTCCACCAGAGAGCCCAAACAGGGATCAGACGCCCACATGCATCTCCTGCAACCTACCAGATATACTGGTGCAGATGGCAGCCCCTGTGGCCCTTCAGGGGCCCAGGCCCTCCAACACCCATACCCCTGGCAGGATTAGTCCAGCTGTCTCACCAGGCACGGTGCTCCTCCTGCTCTGGGGCTTCAGGTCAGCAGCATGGATGTAGCTGCCACATGATTCAGTGTGTGACGCCGGGCAAGTCCTGTACCCTGTGAGCTATGAATCAAGGAACCTCAGGCAGGGAGGGCTCCCCTCAGGCCTGGCTCTCCAGGCACCCGCTATAGGTCACTGGGTGACTTTACCTTTCTGAGCTGACACCTGCACAATGGGAATGGTCATGGCCAAGGGTTTCTGGGAGGTTCAGCTTGGCCTCCCCAGGGTCACAGGCACCGTGCTGGTTAGCAGTCCTCTTCCAGTGCACGGGTCTGTGGGGTCTGGGGGCAGCTGGGCCCCACCAAGCCCACCCCTCAAGATGGGGGGCTGCAAGTGCTGACTGAAGACCTCAGGCCGAAGTAACTGCAGAGGGACTGCCAGCTGCCGACACAGACACAGGTGGGAGGGAGCTCCACTGTGCATGCCGGGTCCTGCCTTTACAGGTCACCTTTGGAGCCAGGTGGAGCCCGTGTGGCCTTAGCTGGGGACGTACCTTTTCAATTGATATGTCACATTCTGGTTTTCTGTGTCCAGAAAAAACAGTCACACTAGTCTGTTTCCTGGGAAAGGTGGGATGGGGTCTCTGTGTAGCCAGGCCTTGCTATGGGGCCTGGGTGCGGTCTAGGCTGGGCGTGGCAGCGGGCACAGTGGGTGCCAGCAGCTTGCACTTGGGGGCGTATGCCTGTGTTTCCAGGCATGTCCTGTCTGCTGCTCTACGTCGGCCGGTCTGTCTGGGCCTCTTTAGAAGCAGTTGTCTTGGTCAGGATGTATAACTGTTTTATACTTGATCTCTATCTAGGAAGTTGGCCCTTGAGTGAATTGACCTCCCTGGTTCTGGCCACATCTAAGGACTTTCTCACTATTCAGAGTCCACCAAACCGGGGTCTGGCCACACGTGCGCCCCAGTGCTGAAGCCACCGGGAACTTCTAGGCAGCTGCTTCACCTCTCAGGGCTTCGTGTCGTCTCTTGGGGCCTGGAGGTGTGAGATCACGGCCCTGAGACTCCTTCTGTCTTGGACCCCCTCACCTCTCTCAGTCTTGGCCCTGCTTAGTGCACACACAGGAGCCAACTCCCTGCCCCAGGATGAGCTCAGAGATCAGTGTGAAGTCACAGCTGTGACAGGCCCAAGAGGGAGCCGTGTCTGCTGAACAGGCTGCCTGGGAGGGAGGTGAACTGGCTGCAGTCTAGAGGATGAGCCAGGCCAGCAGATGAAGTAGAGAGGGAAGAGGCACAGCCCATGCAAAGGCCCTGGGGTGTCTCCAGGAGCCAGCAAGAGGGCCAAGAGGAGGTCACAGTAGTCAAAGGACTAGGAGGGTGTAGGTGGGCCTTTGTTCTCCAAAGGGTGACAAGAGCCACTGAAGCATGTTCCACAGGAGCTGGGGGTTCAGATTTGGGCCATACGCTATTCCCTCTGAGGGGTTGGACCATGAAGTGCTGCAGAGGCCCTGTCCCCACTGTCTGCCAGAGCCGTCTGTGGGAGTGTGTGGATCTGCCCTGCCCTGCCCAGCCCTCGGCTGCACAGCACCAGCCGGTGGAGGCCACGGGGACTGTCGCTCCCTCAGCAGTCTGCACACAGCAGAACAGTCTTCCCCTCTGCCCCTGGAGCCATCAGCTAGGTGCCTCTCCTGCATGGGCCCTGCTGGGAGGGGAGGGATGCCAAATCCCCTAAGGACGGTGCTCAAGAACGGCTACCCCTGCAGTTTCCTGGATGTGCCCTCCTTTAGCGCGAGTCGCCTCCATTGGTGCCACACACACACACACACACACACACACACACAC